AATCAGGCCCGCGCGGCCCGTGCGTGCGGATACCACGGGAAAAAAAAGAGGGAACGTCAAAGGTTGCGGGGAAACCCACCTTCTCTCGTCAAGCGGCTATTTTGCGCAGGTCTTTCAGGATATTCTTGAACTGTCCTTTCCTAAGCTGGGACCAAAGCGCCAATGGCAAGAGAGCTTGATGCTGTGTGGCATGCGCAGAAAGCTCCTTGATTGCACGGGCAGTCAACCACAACGAAACCGATTACAGGCGAACCTCCCCGAAAAAGCCAGGTCAAAGGTCGATTCGCTTCGGGCAAGCGAGCATTTGCTCTGGGATGCTTGTTTAGTTTCAAGTCTTGCTGGCCAGCCTCCCTAGCTCCCGAACCTTTCCCTTGGAACCTGCGAGCCGATCCCAAACCAGTGAATCAACCCCCTTGCAAGCAGGCGCACGGGTTTCTCGTGATGGAACCCAAGAGTGGGTTCCTTTTTCTCTTTCCACAACCCGGCAATGTGCACCCTCAAAAGCAGACGTCCCAAACATTAAAGTCCAAACATGGCCCTGGCGTGGTGGCCCCAGGTCTCGATAGATGGCCTGGCAATGTGAGTGATGACAAAGAACCCCCCATAAGTGTCCACCAATGGGCCAAAGTCCCTAAATAAAAATCACTAGATTGAATCATGGCTTGTTCGCATCCTATCCTCACCCGCTTTGGCTTTCTCTTTGGCTTTTCTCACTTCCTGAGTGGATTGGCCAGCAAAAAGTCCAAACATTTTGTTTACCACTAAAATTGTCTTCCAAAAAACACAAAGTCCATGAACTCAGGCAGTGAGTCTTGGGCTAAACCCCTCCATCCGCTTCCGCGTGTTCCGCTTCCCTCGCCCGTTCCCTCGGCTTCCCCACGGCTCGCCTCCTGGCGGCGCCGCTGCCACCGCTCCGTCATGATGCGCCTCAGCCGCGCCTCGTGGGCCTCCTCCTGCTGGCTGCGGCGCTGCTCCTCGACGGCGACCCGCGACTTCCGGCTCGACGAAGCGAGTCGATGCGTTTCGAGCCGAGGGAAAGGAGGGCCCCAAAAAGGGGGCCCGTTGTTGGGAGAACACGCAGACCAGGGCATGGGTGTTTTTCTGTGGGTCATGATTTGGCTGATTTGCTGTGGGCATAGCGCCTGCGACACAATCAACATTTGGTATCAAATGAAGTGAGCCTCCTACCCGGGAAAAATATGTAATGAATCAAAGTAGCGGCTGCACCTACCTATGGTTGGGACTATCCCTTACTATACATGACGTAGACTTGCACGGGTGTCGATTGTGGCTCGCTTGACTTGCCACAGGCAAACAGGGTCGGGCAAATGTTGGGCAACTACCGGCCAAAAAAGTCCCTTTGAAAGGGAAACCCAAAGGCAATTGTGTAAACAACAGCTGCCGTGCGAACCCACAACCCCCTGTCGCAGTCTCTTCAGGGAAGCTGCCAAAAAGTAGTCTTTCAAGGGTCCCTACATAAAACCAACAACAAGAGGGGCTTCTTGGTGCCCGTTGAAGGGAGTAAAATGCTGGGTTGAAAGGGAGCTTCCTTTTTGGAGGATACCCCCACCCCCAGGTAGAGCATGCTTAAGGGAACCCAAGGAAGACCACCCACGTTTAGGGTCTGAACAAATCCAACACTTTCCCACCCTATGTTAGTTTCGTTTTGGGAAATTCTGACCACGTTCCGGCACAATTATATTTATCTGAGTATATCTGAGTGTATTTGTTGAACTCAATTGGAGCGGATCCAAAGGGTAACAAACGAGAGCCTGCCACATACGAAAGCCACTGGTGAGGATCCAAAGTGTTTCCGTTCAAGGTGCAAAGTAGATGGCTCATGAAAACCCGATGATTGGTGGCCATTGCAGTGCAGTTCGTGCCTGATTGCTTTGTGTAATCCCTGTGCAGAGTAGTTGGGTGGCAAAAACATCGGATGGGTTTCATGTCTTGTTAGATTTTGACTAGTCAAGGATTTTGGCCAAACATGGCCAACAACCAAAACAGCACATTGGAACCTTTTAGCGCCCCGCACCCCATTAGATTTCTCCTCCTGCAAGACACTTGCCTTACTCAAAGGTATAGAGTTGCGCCGCGGCTGCCCAAGGAACAAAATGCTTGGGGAGACAAGCCTTGGCCAAATTTCTAGGGGTACCTTCCAACCATTCTTTCCAGGAATCCTTCTTTTCAGGAAACTATCAAAAACCCAGGGGAAACAGCCGGCTATTAAAAAAAGAAGGATGGTTAAAAAGAATGAGGAATCAACCCCTTTTCAGGCCCCAGGGGTCTACCATCCGACCGCCGCGCTTCCATCCAACCGCCACGGAACCACCTGGGCCCACCGCTGATTGCATGCCCCTGGCGGCCAAGGCTCATCCTGCTCCATGGCCTTCTGCAATGAGGCTTGGACGCGGCGCCTGCACAAACCAGCTGAGCCCAAGGATCCGAAACGTGCAACATCCTGGACTCTGAAACTACTCAACGTTTGAAGGGATGAATTAAACAAGTCCAGAATTCAATACAAGAAAGCAACAAGAACAAGACACCATGCTGGCCTCCTTGCGCGGATCCGCTTCCGGCACTCCTCCACCGGGTCTGGCAGATCAAGCTCGAGCTCCTCGCTTTTCTCTTGAGATGGGTATGGGTCAAAATGAAACGACCAGGGGACCGCAGGTTTGGGTTGTTGTTTCAATTTACCAGGGTTCCATGTTGGGTCCTTTTGTTTGACCCACACCCAGATGGCATATGGGAGTGACCCTGAATGGGTCCAAGGACCGTTGGGCGACATCATTTCAGGGGGATGTCCATGAATCACTTTTGTGATGGCTCTCTTTGGGTAGTCGCGGGTTGGTCACAGGTGTGTTCAAGGTATTCCCCCAGCCCAATTTCTCACTTCCTGAGTGGATTGGCAAAAACAACAAGTCTGTTGGGAATGCCACTAAAATGGTACACCCAATGTGCCAAGCAAATCAAAGGGTGGGCATATGGCGTGCCATTCTTTGGCACCCCCACTAGATCGTGGGGCTTGCCCGACATTGTCGCCACAAACGCATGGAAATGGACGACCAAATAAAATGGCCTACAACGCTAATTGACTCAAAGACAGAGCAAAGGGAGCCATTGGAGCATTGCAAGCTAGACGGCCAGAGGGGGTTCTGACCATGGCTTCCTTTGCTGCTGGTGGATCTAGAAGCGCTTCCAACTACCCCCTTAAACCCAGGGACAATGGGGAATAAGCTACAACCCCTTGTTTCGTGCTTGCTGGAGGGTACATGCTCCATTATTTCTTGGCTTTCCCAGCTTTCCCACCCAGGGTTCTGAGATTGGACGTCTGTGGTACCAAGCGCCTTCCAAATCAGGTATCCCAAAGCGGGCATCAAGCCCTCATTCCTACACCCCTGCTTCTCGCTGGAGAGAAATTCAGGTGACATCTGTGGTTTCACCGCTGTATCCAAAGGGGAGGCTCACAAAGAACGGAAGAATTTGGTCACATGTGCCAAAGAAGGGATGTAGCAAGTGAGGAAGACAACAGCAAGTCACAACATGCGCCCTGCGCCTTGGGGCTGCCTTTCACCCCTCAGGGGGAGAAGAAGAAAAAAACATCCCATTAAGCACCAGACATGTTAAAGGTAAAAATGACACCGGGCGTGCGGAGAAGTAGCCACCTCACATATCACAGAAGAAACTGGAGTGATGTTCGGCAGCCCAGCTCCTCCAGGTAAAAAGCGTCCACAGGTGACCTCAAGGTATGCATTGACTCACCACAGGTGACTGATGGATCAGTTTCAATGGGCGTGCCGGGGGCAATGGGCCAAACAATCCGCACGAAGGCATCAGTGACCAGGGCTTCATCATAACCTCCTTCTTTTCTCGCCGCTCCACAAACGATCCTTCCAGGCGGGAAGGTGCTGCTGGTGTTTCCGTGTCGCTACACACCCTACCGAAAGAGGGGCTCCAACATTGTGAGACAAACTCACAACTATTGGGCGCGCATTTTATATTAAAGCACCTCGCAACCCGATGTGCGGTCTATCCAACTTCTCTGCTGCCTGGTTGCGCATCCTTCGGATGCTTCTCCTGTGCAGTAGTGGCTGGGTAATACCCACAAAAAACAAAAAGGACTCCAGAGCGAAGATCTCTCTACAACTGGTATGTTATATATATACATATATATTCACATATACATGTATGTAGATATGTCCGTTCCATGTTCAGCTGCAGGGAGGAAAACCTCGACATGGACAACAAAGAAGCTTTCACAATGAACAGAACCTCCACCATCAGTGCAGTTACAGCGTTTGCGATATGTTGCCCCGCTTTGTGCCCATCTTGATAGATCAGGGAGATGAATCGCACCCCCAACATCTTGTTTCGCCCATCGCAGCCGGCTTCTTGCGTTCAAGAGATGCTAAGAATGCCTAAACCCGAGCCCGATCCTGTGGATAGCCTCCCTCGGACATGGCGTCAGCGTTCCATGAGACGTGCACAAGCCATGCCTAGAAGTCTGTGTATTTCCCACGAAGGCCTCTGCTCCGCAGTCCAGGGCCGATACAAATGGATCAAGTTCCTTGATTCGGGCGCCCTCTCTGACATGGCTGACACCACGTTGGCAGAGGACCTGAAAGGACAAAACCCATTGGCACGACAACCGCGGGCAGTGCTCGCCGAAAGCCTTTTGTGAGTTGAGCTCAAGGGTGACGTCTCTCTCTCCTACCCTTGAGCCAAGGGCGCGGGATGAGCGATCTGGAGACTCCAAGCTCGGATGCCAGCTGCCAGCGACCCAGAGCCTCAAATGGCTGTGGTGGTCAAAACCAATGGGATCCCATTTTGGTTGGTAGGTGAATGCACCACCCATTTTAGAGCCGATTTTCGTGGGGATTGGGATGCTCACGGTACGGGCGTTTGACCCATGGCCAAATTTCCCCACTTACCAGCCCCCCGGCCGGGCCCCTTTTTTGGGGGGGTCCAGCTCCCAAAAGTCTCCACGAGCCACTGTCGGCCTTTGGGCGCGCTCGTTCTCGAGGCCTGCGAGGCTCGCTGGGAAGGGGCGCCCTTTGGGGAGCAGTTTGAAGGGAAAGGCAGGTGGTTTCTGTGGGCGTCCTTTGGGTTTCCACGCGCTTGCGCGTGGATTCCACGCGCTTGCCCGCGCATTTCGCGCCCCCTAAAGTCAGCTCAGGTGATATCCCAACTGCATCATCATCCCTCGAAACGGAACCCTCCCCGGAAAACACGGAGCCTCTCTGGGCAAGAAACCTATAGCTGTCAGCTGTTGGAGCAAAAAGGGAAAAGGGCACCGTGTCTCTCACTAAACCTGGCTTCCTGGCTTGAACCCGACAAAAGTCAAAGCGGCTCAGTGTTGAATCAGCCCTGCCCCCAAACACCAACAGCCACCACAACTTGGAAAACCATTTTAGTGGTGGTGGATCTAGATTTCCATCATCCACTGTTAGTGGGTGGGGGCAGGGTACAACTGTCCATAGTTAAAATTAAGGAGTCTTCAAAGGAGCTTCATGCGGAGCCTGCACGGAATCTTATAAGCAGCTTTACACGGAGCCTTGTAGCGAGCTTTTTGGGGAGCCTTAGAAGGAGCTTTACAGTGAGCCTTGCAAGGGCGTTGTAAGGAGCCTGTTGGCCCCTCTGCACAACGTTTAAGCTTTTGTGGGTCCAACGGAAAACCCACTGTTTCCCAAACAGCAGTTTGGTAGGCAAGTGCCCAATTGGCATTGTCCAAACTAAATAATTCATGTGCATGTCTCTTGGTGTCGGACGAACTTAGTGCCACAAAGAACACGCCGAATTGTAACATTAGTGGGAAGATCGTGCTGCTTGCTTGGTTTAAACGTGGCTTCACCATGGTCGGCTTTCACACACTTCACCCAGACAACTCAAGGTTGGTGGTATTGTCCTTCGCACTCACCAAGCAAGCAAACACATCTTGAGTTGTTTCATTTTTCTGGTAGGATAATGCAAACAAAATAAAACAGAACTTAGGGAACACAAAACTTATCCACTGAGTTTTGGCTTTTGGTGGTAGGCAGTTGTTCAGTTTTTAGTCAAGTATTTAAAAAACAAAAAAACTCGCAAGTCTAAAACATGCTACAAACGTATTTGTTCGCTTCAAACAAGCAAAGCAACACCATCAAACAAATGGTGTTTTCTTACACATGGTCTTGGATTTGTAGCCGCATCGGACGGCTGAATTTGGGCCACCCATCAACGCAATGCGAATCCTCGACGGAAACAAAATATATGTCCGTGCTTTATACAAATAACATCAGCTACCTCTGCTCGGCCAAACAAATGGCCATATTGAATTCGGCTATTCTTTCAGCCGGATGTCAAACAAACCCCCGGCGCTTGTGGAAACCGCGCTTGTGAAGCACGCCGTGTTAGAGGGTTTCAGCCGCCGGGCGGGAAATAGTGCCTTACCAGTCCCCAGCAACTGCTTTAGCCGGAAGGAGTTTCTAGGTATATACCTATATGTGCTCAAAGAAGATATGCATGACATGGGAGCCCCAGCAAGTGGGAGGACGTACTATACTAGAGTCCGGCTGTGAAGTGCTTTCAAACACCATCAAACCAAACTAAACCATGCTCATAGCCCCACAGTGTTGTCTCTCTCCATTGCTATGTGCTATCCCGCAGATCCCAATTGAGCGCAACGAGGGGGGATGTTTCTCAAAATGGACCCGCTTTTGGCTGGTACTTGAAGGAAAGTCAAAAGCAAACCCACCACTTTGGCACCCCGATTCCTATTTCGAGAACCCGCACACGCGGTCCCGGGGAGGCTCGCATGCGGTCGTCTGGTGCCTCGCTGAAGCTCAAGGCACTGCTGCCGCAAAGCGTCCACCCCCTGCCTGCGAATGGGCCAAAGGGGCTGGGAGCAAAAGCAGCGGTTTCGAGTTTAGACGCAAATTCTGTTACAAAATATATGAAAATCAGGGAGGGTTGCTGCATTTCTGAGACCCCCAAAATCCTCCTCGCCAGGAAAGGCTCGGAAGGCTTGGAGATGAAAATCGGTTCTCGCTGAGCTGGGCGCTGCATGCTGATCTCCGCTTCCTGGGCGTTGACTGGGGAAACAAACGCCAGGCCTCATCCCAGAAAGTTTCTTCCAGGCTCCTGAACGGGCTGCACCCTCATGTTTTTCTTCTAGGGAACCCAGCACGAAGTTAGTGCAGGGCACCATGGATCCCCCAAACACGCGTGTGACACCCGAGCAGGAAACTGCGCCGGTTGCAACCGTGACATGAACACTTCACCCAGCAATGGGTCTGAGGGCAGGGGCACCCAGCGTCAGCTTCTTCAAACCCGCGGGATGTTGCAATTCGTTCCCCGTAGTTTGGCACCACAACCAGAGAAGCCCGCGACTTCCCATCCGGAAGGATCTTGCCGTTGCGACACGCCATCCATGGGCCTTGGGGTCTGCCTGAAGCTTTGCTGAGGCCCCGGGCCTGGGAATTCTCGCCTCGAGAAAACCGGCTCTCACTTCGCGACTCACGCGTCCCGCCCTTGAGTCGCCGGCGGTCCTGTGTGAGGCCTCAGGACGCCCATGCCATAGAGTTTGACCACTGGGTCTGGACAAATCTGCTTGCCAGCTCTGGGCATGGGGGCGCAAGCTCTACGACGACACCCATCTTGCTCCTTGAAAAATGTTGGACAACGACCATCAGCTGCTCTTCCCCCACCTGCCCCACCCGCCCCCAACAAGCCTGCAGCCAAAACATTCACAACCGCTGGCCAAAGGACACATCATCTGCCAGGCCGGGAGGGGGGTGGGCTCGAAGTGATTTGGCCCCCGGCGTTCGAGCTCTGCTCGAAGACGGTGTACTTCCTGAGCATAGAAAAGTGGAAAGCATGCCTCTCCGGGATGTTGGCGTTGTGGAAAGTAGGATGTTTCTTGCGACCTTTAGGATACCAAAGGTTCAAACCGAGAGAGGTTCTCACTAAAAAGAAAGGGGCCCATGCCCCCGCACTCCAAGTTCCGGGATTGTTTTCTTTTGCTAGGAAAGACGACTCTGTTGCCTCAAATCCACTCCGGAAGCTTGTTGGTTCATGAGGTGCTGGGGGTTGGACATTCCTGTAGGGCAGGGGCACGAGATTCCAAGAGTAGAGAAGCATGCAACTGTATCCCAAGGATGCAACTTGCACAAAGTCGAACGCCAAATCAGGGAAGCCTGATCCAGGCACTTCGAGCTGTTGCTGTCGATTTGTTTCTGGGAAATCTGCCAAGTGTCCCCCGAAGTGGCACAAAACCCCCCCTCCCCCCGCCCCCGCCAAAAATGTCGCACCAGTTTCTTGAACACGTTCCTTGTGGTTTCCTGGCTGTTGAAATGGAGCCTCAAAACGACGGGTTTTCCTTTCCTTCGGTTTTCCCTTCCCACCCAAGACCCAGCAAAAAAAAAGAAGAGTCTCCCCCGAGAACAAAACCACCGCCTCACGGGAACACCCGGAAATCACCCCGCCGAGCTCCGCACCGCCTTCTCAAGCTCAAGGCCTACAAACTGCCAGCTGGTCAGATTTGCCCAAGCGCGGGTGCTCAAGCCGAGTGCAGTGATGCTAGTGTACAGTTGACCCGGATTTTCATCGACAGTTGACCCGGATTCTCATCAACCAACTGTTTATTAATAGGGGGTGGCTTTTGGCCCCCTGGAAGGTGGTTTGATTCCAGCCAAACCCAGGGAGGAGCACCCCTATGAATAAACAGGGGCTGATCAATATGGGGTCAACATTAGGTCCGAGGGTAGTTCGGCCATCGGCTTTCCTTCTTGCTTCAGATGTAAAAAGGGAGGGAGGAAAAAACAAAAAACGATCCGAGAAGTAGAACAAACTTCTGAAGGCAACGCTGGCCATGGCGAACTAAGCCCAGGAGGGGGTGACAAGGCAATGTCCAGGTTATAGCTAAGTGCGGCATTGCCGCGTGCGGGCCGTGGACCAAGTTAAAATAACCCAGTTCAAACAGGTCACCCGTTCCAATCTCACAAAATTGAGGAACTTGCAAAACAAATGACAATGACACCGGGGAGGAGTAAAAGCCTGTGCGGTTTAACTGGTTAACCACAAGTCGTTGGACAATTCAGTTCACCTTGGGCTTCAAATCTCCAAACCACCCACCGAGGGATAATGCCGACCGGGGAGGGGGGGGGGGTCCCTTCCAAAGGTGCTCCTTCGCTCTTGCAAAAAACACTCTGGCTGGTTGATCCGGGGCCAACATTACCCATTACCTGATCGCGCCGAATGGCTGCGCCCGTGTGCCTGTCCAAGGCAAGGAGTCGTTTGATGGGGACCAAACATGCCGTCAACCAAGGGAACTCGGAGCCATCGGGCGGCGCCCGCTCAATCAGCCGCACCTTTCTCTTTGACTTTGGAGGGACACCAGTGGTTTGTCTCAACTGGGCTTGACAAACAAATGTAGGTTTCCTTCTGATTGCCCTTGAACAACCGGAAGCAGGCGGGGTTCCCAGAAAAAGAACGAACCAACACATGACCCGAATTCGGCTGACCACTGCGCCTTCCATCAAAGACCGCTTTGTGGCATCCAGGGTGGCCAGCTGCTTCTTCGCCTCTGAGAGCAAAAAGCTCGCCTCTTGCTCCGCCCTGAGCCGAGTCGAAGGTACGCTTCGCCATAAGACCACACAATCTCGGCCATTCACGGAGAAGGGGAAAGAGTGAAGATGAACATACATGATATATATATATATATATACATATGGGTACATATCTTTATGTAGTTACATATCTATATATAGTTCTATAAAAACATGTGTTATTCTATGTGTGCATGTCATGGATGGGGAATTTTGTCCCAACGCACACACGCACACACCCACACACCCACACACCTACACACCCACACACGCACACACGCACAGGCGCACACGCGCACACGCGCACACATAACATGACTGCAAAAACACTGTGTTTTTCCATATATATATATATAAAGGATATATATATATATATATATGCAAATGTATATTATCTATTTGTAGACATCGTGTGTCAAGAACGTCGCCCCTTTCTCGGTGGGTGACCTGCCTACGTCTCCACGTCCCTTCGAGCCATCCGCTTTCCGGCCTGTTCTCCCGCGCGGTGTCCTGCAGCTGAGCCTCGGTGGGCCTTTTCCTTTGGCTGAAGGATCTGCCAACGCGGAAAAGGGAAAAAGGAAAAGGGAACTGAAGTTGAACTCCAAAATGATGAAACCCAATTGTTTCTAATCATAAGTTGAACCACCACCTGAACCAGCATCTGGCATTCTGTCAGGATCTGATTCCGGGAATCTCTGCGATCACCCACCCGTTTTGGTGGAAGGGTGGTTAAAAGAAAACAACTATCGCCTGCTAAGAGGGCCGCTAGCACAAAAAACATGATTCAAACGGGGGCCAATTCTTATAGACAATAGTTGGCCAGAAGCTCCGAAACTTCCCATCCTAACATTGCATCAGTTGAGTTAGAGGCCTTCAAATGGCCTCAAACCTAGGAGCATGTTCCCCTCCATTTTCCCTCCCATTGGTACTAAGGAGTGGTGGCTTGGTTCGGAAGTGGTTTCAACCATTTATCCACAGGAGCCATTGGTTCAAATCCAAATCCAAGCCACCAACCAAGCATTAGCTGACTAGTCCCGAATTACCCTCCTGTCCTCCAACATGGAACCCACAAGGCATTTTAAAGGAACATGGACTTCCAGGAGCCCCCCGGTCAGGTTCCATGATAGTGGTTGGGAGCATTCCTTTGGAGAAAGAAGCGCCTCTGCAGCCTGCAGCCGCTGCCGCAGTTGCAACGAGGTTTTGCCTCGCAACTTGCAGGGTTTGGAAAGCAACAGGCCAGGGGAAACCAAAACGGCAAAGGGAAAACGGGGAAGCCGATAGGGCAAAAAGGGGAACAGAATGGGAAAAACTGAAAACCAGGAAAAACCAACAGGGGAGAAGAGGAACCAACAAGGACCAATCCTTTGCCAGGCTTGGGGCGTTGCCGTCGTTTGCGCAAATCCGTTTCTTCCGCTTATTTCAAGTGCCAGCGAACAATAGTAACACATCGACTGGTACCACCAGCTCCTTTTCAAATTCATGGAGAAGAAGAACACTTCCCTTAAGGGACCTTGGGAAGAATCCCAGCCGCTTGTCCTTGCGTGCGGACTTCCCCGGTCACTTCCCCCAAGAAAACCCTGGGAAGAATCCCAGGCGCTGGTCCTTGCGGACATGGGAGGGGAAAGCTTCTGGCCCGACGGGTTTTTGCTCTGAGACCTCAGCTCCCCCCACCAAGAAACATACTAACCTGGTTGACGTTGCAAGGGGAGCAAGAAAATTAAATGTTTAGCAGATAAGTGGCGATTTCAACCACTAAACTGAACCACAATAAGCAAAAATGTACAAATGTTGCCCAACAACAACCATGTTAATATGTTTAATGCTGGCCCAAGTTTCGTGAACCTTCAAATGTACGGTACTTTCCCTCCGACAACCATTATGGAAGCTGACAAAAGGGTTTTGAAAGACTGCATTCCTTCTAGGAACCCCCTATCCACTTCTATGGCTATGAGTTTCATGAATTGCAATAGGGAACTTGCTCAAAAATGGTTGGTACAAATTCAGTATGTAACTGTTGTCCACCAAAGGGTCCCTAATTAAGGTTCGCACCCGAATGTAAAATGAGTTCAAGAGTAAACCGACAGCCAGCGGTGCACTTGGGTCGCAGCTCTGCTCCGCAGCATCCCATGACAGCTGGGCCTAGTGGTTTTCGGTGAATCTTGTCAAACAGGCCTCGGTAACTCAAGTCGGGCCAACAGAAAATAGGGATTCCCTGCCTTGGCCCTCTGCAAACCGTTTAACTTTTGCGGGTCCAATGGGATATTCATCCGGTGGCTACTTCATGGATTTCCTTCACAGCGGCCACAAGGCGAGCGAGTCTCACGCGCCTTCTCAGAGGAGACTTGGCCAAGACGGTGCACCGCCCTCGGCGTGGAAGATCCCAAAGCACTCCAAGCGAGGGTGCGATGAGGACAGTCACTATGACATACCTAGATAGCCAAGTTGCTGCTTTATTCTTTCCACCCACTTTACTCCAAAAACCAGCAAAAGATGACATATGTTTGTCTTGTCTGCCCGACTTGGAGATCGCAGGTGTACGGCTTACCTTTTGTGAGGAATGTCTGCATGCAAAACAGGAGTACCAAAGTTCGGACCCCTTCTGGCAGTTGTGGTTGAGTGCATATCCCCTTCAAAAGTTGCAAGTTGCTGGTGGTGTCCATTGAAACCCTCGCCACTCTTGGAGGTTCCACAAAGGGAAATGGACAAAAACTGCTTCCGCTAACACTCAAAGGTCAGCTTGATTTGGACCAAGGGGGGCCCTACCCTTGGCCTAAGGATAAAGGAAGCCAATCTGAAGCTACTCCTGAATTTCCCCAACTGTGGAATGGACGGGGAAGTTTAAATGGAATTTGTCTAAAGTTACAAGACCAAGTTGCCCATTCCTTCCATTGCACGGAACAAAGGAACTTGCCCAAAGCCATTAAACAGGGCTCTAAGGCTACATGCACAGCCCCCGGCTCTTTGTCAGGTGATCTTCTGAATCAGCGGGCGGGAATGATGTTTAAATTGGCCCAGATGCAGTCTTTACGGCACGCTGACCAAACAGATTGCTGGCATACCCTGGCATGTGGCCCATAGTTGCCGTCCCTCCAGTTCTCATTGGATCCCACCAGTTGGCCGCAACGCTTTAAGAGGAACTCCAGTGACACCCTGGGACAATTCAGCGGTGTTCGCAGAAATTTGTGCTTGGAAAACCCCGTGAAGGTTGAAAAGCGAGGGGGTGAAAAGCCATCGACGACCGCAGCTCCGTGCCGGGGTTCTCCTGTAGCTCCTTCTCAGACTGCTCCAGCAAGGACTCCTCAGGATGCCGGGCGCCCAATGGGTGGCCTTCACGGCCACAGGTGAAAACCAATGGATGGCCGTTGGGGGGTAGCGGCAGCTTCCTCTCCCGCTGCCCTTGCCTCCAAAAGGTCCCTCTTGGGCTATAGCATCACTTTGTGCAGTTCTCAGCCTTCGCTTCCAAACGCGGCGAAGAAGAGATTTCATGCGGGACAGTTTCGAGAAGGCTGCTGGAGATGCCCATGCACATGATGGCAAAGCGCCTCATGAAACATCATGCGAACACACGTGGGTTCTGGTAGAAACTGTGTATGATTATTATGATAATATGATAACTTCTTTACCATCAGGCAGCCGTGCTTGAGACCACATTCCAACTACACCTACCCCAGCATCGAGCACCGTCCCAAGAATCGGCTTGCCTCTTGGCGGTTTTGGTGTGGTTTGGATTGGTTTGGAGAGGCGGCGGCTTTCCATCTCACATCGCCAATTCAAACCACCAATTGGCTACTAATTAGGCTAATGTGACACGCCAAGTGCTCAGCGTCTTACAAAAACATCACCCCATGCTAGGTTTCATGGAATCGACCCGAGGCTCGGACCATCTCAAGCCAAACGCTCCAAAAATCGCATCCATCTGGGCATCCATCCGAATCCTCTTAGTTTGGGGCAGTTTTGCTCTTGGCTTCCCTTAAAAACCCCCACCCCAAAACGGGTACCCGATCCGCAAAACCCCCAATCCGATCCAAACCCCCCCACCTTCACCTGAGATCGGACGCGGAGGGCATCGAGCTCCTGGCAAACTGATCCATTCCTTCGGGTTAGGGTCTCGCATCCCGTGACCCTAAGCTGATTGCTCCAAAGCACGGGGTTTTCATGAACCCATGGGGGCCCTCCAAAAGATGCCAAATTCTTGAATTCTCAGCTTTGGGCTATTGTGTTTTGGGGTCACTTGACAGGCATCGAGGGCGTCCAGGTACGCAACACGATTTTTGGTTGCCGGGTTTCACATGGTTTTCGGTGGTTCCCTGCTATAGTGGAAACTGGAAATGCTGGGACAAAGAATTGGGTCATTCTTTGGCCACGTGCCAATCGCCCATGACTGGGCCTCACTGACTCATTTGCTCGCTACATCGATGCGGCGAAATGGCCCTCCATTTCTTGCTCGCTCGATCATCTCTGAAAGCCGGCCACTCGATCGCCTCGGCACACCTTTTTTGTTGGCCCCGTGGACTCTAGAACTATACATTGGGGTTCATTTCCGCCAAGCTGAAGTCTCATGAAAGCTGCCCTCATGGGTGAGCTGCTCAGCTCGCTCTGCTAGCTCGCAACAAGTGTGCCCGGACAAAAGTGGCCTCAGAGAATTGCCCGCAGAGCCGGGTCAGGATGTTCAAGCCCAAGCCAAACAATACAGGCAACCCTGGTTGGCACTGTTCTTGCCTTTAAAATTTAAAGGCGGTTCCAATGCAAATGGGTGCCACATGGTGCCACAACAGGGCCCTGAGAGGATTTTTCTCTTTTGGTTTCCTTCGCACTTGAGGAGCGGGTGAACGAAAGCTAGCAGTTGTTGCATGAGAGTGGATTCATAGGTAGCTTGTGTACAACCAGAGGCCCGGCAAGATTCGTAGGATGCGACACGCAAACGCACATGGTGGCGTGGCAA